TTTTTAACTCGAAGATTGCGAAGCAATCGAAGAGTTATAGGAGGGAGATAGATGATGGTGTGTGAGGTGAGGTGGACTAGTTAATAGGTCACTTATTTTTTCTGTAAACATACGGGCATTTAGAAGTACGTAACCAAGATGGCCAGGTGTTTCGATACAGAAATGGCTTTTTAAACACACAAAATGGGATTTTTGAGGTCTGGACGTTCTTGTATAAGCTTTTTACCAATTAATTTGTTGATTTCAGAAGTCGTTTTAGGAGATATCGTGTCAATATGGCTCATAGATACAGCATTCTATTACGATGATTTCAAGGATTATTCCGATCCTTTGTCGATCGGTATTTAATGCTCATCGATTCATATAAACTTTATCCTTCGTAAAAAATCGATGCACGGAAGACASTACAACAAGTAAGAACTCAAAATATAAATTTTAACGGTCAGCATTCAAAGTGAAAGTATCATCACTTCAAACTAAGAAGTTTTGATTGTCCGTACTCATATTGACAATGAAATTGACGTCAAAAATGCTCAAAACTCCAAACTCACTTACGCTCGTGCCTCGTGGTTCCACTTGAGTTTTGAGCATTTTTGACGTCAATTTCATTGTCTATATGAGTACAGTTAATGGAAAACCGCCTGCGAATTGTTAAGTCGATATCGTTAAAGGTGTTACGGATGCATTTAAATTATTAAATTCAAAATTTCAAGTTCAATATTTTCATTTTATAGTTTTTTTGTCGAAATTATATACATACATACATACATACATACATACAGCCTTTTGCAAAAATTATGAGAATTGTTGAAATATCTAAATATCATAATATCGAGTGCATGATGGGTAATCCCGCGCGATGCCCTTAGTCCCTTGTCTTTGTAGTTTAGTTTTTTTTTTGGCGACAGACTTATCCGTAGTTCTGAACATTTTCTCGATGTCAACAATGAATAATTCTAGCAAACCCGCGTGTTCCGGACAATATATGGATATGGATATTATGATATTTAGATATTTAGATAATTCTCATAATTTTTGCAAAAGGCTGTACATACATACATACATACATACATACATACATACTTTATTCGTCCCCTTGAGGGATTTTCAGAATAAATATTACAATCATAAATAATAAACTCATAAATATATATAATATACATAAAAATAATAATAATAATAATAATATCACTATCAATAAAAATATATAAATATATCATAGTAAAAATATTATGCAAAATAGATTCCCAATCCACAGATCCCAATATCCCTCCCTCCTGATATACAATGACGAATTACAAGCAAAACATCAAAGAGTAAAAATCTAATTAAAGTTATATCTATAATCAATTATGCATTATGCTAGGATTTAAGAAAATCTGAAATAAGGCGTTTTTTAAGTGCCCGCTTAAAGTCATTTACAGTAGGGCATAGCTTAAATACAGGATCTAGAGAGTTCCACAGTTTTACAGTTCTGTAGTGAAAAGATCTTTGGCCTGTAGCCAATCTGCAAAGAGGTATCTGTAGTTTTTGAGAGTTCCTTGTCGTGCGCTTTGAGATGGTAGATCTTGTTATGAACCGGCAGCACAGGGAGTCAGGAGCACATCCAGTCATACATTTAAATGCCATAACTGCATTGCGGTAGTAAAGTTGCTGTCTGACGGGTAACCATCGTAGCTCTTTCAAGATAGGCGTGACATGATCGTACTTCCTTTTATTACCAATGATAGACCATATCTAAACAAAGTCTGAGGCTTCATACAGATTTATGTCCACGGTATACTTGTCTAGCAATCTTCGAGT